TTGGAAAGATGTTCCAACACACACACACACACACTCACACACTTTTCCCCCCTAATTTGTATACTATCAATCCACAATGTACAAAGCCAACCATGATTTTCTTTGAACTTTGATGTCTAAACATACCACAGCCTTAAGGCATTTCACATGTTGTTACAAGAGCTCAAATATTTCACATGCTCTGAAAAAAAAGATCAGCTGAAATTTCCTAGCAGCTTTAATGTCTGTCATTTGCCTTAAAGCAAGATACACAATACAACCTAATAATCTCTCCACTGACACAGATATATTCTGTTTACAGAGAATATTTTTTTCTTCTTTTTTTTTTTTTAAATCAAAAATTATTTGCCCAAAAAAAAACACTACTATAAAACTCTATTTGGTCTCATTGGTACCTGAATGATACATTTCTGCAGTTATTTTTAAATATCTCTAGTTCATGATTTTAAATACCTAGGCAAAAAGATATAAAATCAAATTGAACCTTGAATAACATGCCATATTCATACTCGGTTCTCTTTTTTTTGTTTTAAAGAAGACCCATTCAGGACAGAAGCCAGTAGACCAAGCCACTGTTCAGTCCTATGTGACTGCGTTCTGTGTGTAGGGGAGCCTATTCATCTCAATGGGTTGCCCTACCTGCAGAAATAAGGAGAAAAAAGTCCCCGACCATTTTTTGTTTAAAAATCGTGCTGCACCGAGCCCATGGTGCTGCAGCACCATGTGGTTTGGCATGTGCAAAAACACGCCACATTTGCCGATGCATGGGGATGTCATTAAGAATTGATAAAGTGCAGTGTCTTTCTCTGCAGGTTGGAAATGTATGTAATAGCAAGCCTTTTGCTGAGCACATTGTCAGAGATTGGGATCCTGAGGGTACAGGGTCAAGGAAAGCTGGATGATGCGCAAGGTATCACCATCCAGCACGTATTCTTGGAACAAAGCAGAATGGCCAGTTATCATCAGAACCCTAAAGTTCCCCAGTCCAGATATGAGTAGCAGCCATAAACAACATGCATACATTGATGTCCAGTTGCCACCACCTACAAATTACAGGCTTGAGAGAAACCTTAGGCAGGCCCTCCCGCCGAGCCATTATGTTCTCCTGGTGCTGAGGGGCAGGGGAAACCGTCCCCACCATGAGAAGACAGTGATTATTGCTAGCAGCTATAAGAGCAGCTAGTTATGTAAAATCTGGCGGGCTGGTTGTACCAAGTTGATCGATCGATCGATCAACTTGAGTACATCCAGCCTGCCCATACATGCATTGAATTTTGGCCAGTTCCTGCTGAACTGGCCGAGATTCAAACAGTCTATGGCCAGCTTTACTGCAGACACCTTTAGTTTGAACACTCTCAGACTAGCACATAGACTTCTCAGACCACACACTGCTGTCAATAGAAGTTATAGATTAGATAAACTAGGCAATATCACTGATAGAGATAGTGCAAACACACACTCACAATCTCTGACCACCAGCCACCAATAGAAGGAGTCTCTACCACAGTCTAGCTGGCTGAAAATACACAGGGAGATGCAAATCTCACATACAATCTGGTTCACTCTAAAGATTGTGTAGCAGCTAGGTGACTGATTACTCCAGGTCTCTGAGCTTTTCCCAAGCTATCCTGTGAGCTGGAATCCTAAATGCAGTCACCTTTCCCACTGCCCACACAGATACACACACAGATCTCTGTTACTGGCAATGAGATTTATCTCTGCCTATGGCAGATACAATAACTTCCACACACTGATGCTAACCTGCATGCAATCAGTTTGGCCACCTCATTCTCAGTTAGCAAACCACTGCAGTTAAACTGGCCATAGATGATGCAATTTTCTTTTCTGCAACCACAGGTTGCATGAGAGAAAATGGCTTGATTCTCCCACCAACACTGACTCGTGGAGCCATTGCTTTCTCCCAGCAGGAGGGTATGGAGGGGGAGCCATCCCTGCCAAGAGAACACAGTGATTACTGCTAGCGGCTATACCCATTGGCAATAATCACATGGAAAATCCAACAAGTTGGTTGTACCCAAGTCGCATATAATAGTCGAATTGGACAAAATCAGCCTGCCAACAGATGGTTCGAATCTCAGCCGGCCCATGCTGAACCAGCTGGGATTTGAACCATCTATGGTCAGCTTTACAGAGAACATGAGGGCGCACATAGATTAGCAGTTACTTACAACCAAGCTTAAAGGTACTGCTTGAACAATGCAACTGTAGCGTACAATACAACACACACATACCAGTCTCTTCAGATTTGTGTGTTCTTTAAAGCAATAAAAAAACCAACTTGTCAGCAACATTATCCCTAGGCGGGCATAGCATTGACAGATACAAAAAAGATACAAAAGACAGAAGATGCAAAGTGAGACACATAACACGCAAACAGTATTGAAAATAAAAGGGATTTGCCAGAGTGCTGGAAGATAATACATCAAAGCTACAGTTAGCAGTTATAAAACATAATACATTTCAACCACTAGCTTCATAGCAGATGCTTTAGATACAATCAATCATACATGCCAAAAACCCCATCCCATCAGTCAATCATATAACCTATCTTCATTCAACTTAAAATTAGTGCGTCCTGGTCCTACTGGGAGTAGACAAAGACATTACAAATTACTAGACTATGATTTCATCGCAATCCTTTCATAACCAGAATTTTTGAAGCTTAGATGTTCAGACAAAGTTTTGCAACCTCAGTATGTGTCATTTGACTTGACAATGCCCATTCTTAGTTCTCTGCTGCAAGGTTAATTAACATTCTCATGGTGGTATTTTTCATGTGGACTTAAAGGGGGAGATATACTAAGGGAAAATTTGCACTATCCTTGGCCATGATTTGCAGAGCAAATGGAGCGATCCAACACTCTGGCCGCTCTGTGTTGTTGGCCGACTAGGGGGCAGCGTGGCGCACGATTTGGCGCACCGCACTGTCCTTTTTTAAAATCGTATTTGAAGTGTACAAAACATACACTTTATTTACTACAATGTTGGGCGGCAGGATGCTCTGCATTTCCTGACATTGCAGTGTGATCAATCTGGGTTGTTGTGCTGCGATGTCTGCATTTTATCGCAGCATTGGGGTAAGTTGCAGTCTTAATGGGACACATAGAAAACAACTGTTTCCTGTGTGCCCCTGTGGTGACAGACATTTTAACATAAGGTAAAATGTCTGTCACCGCATATAGTGTGAATTGTCCCTAAAACTGGAGCACCCAAAATCTGGTGCAGCTGTGCATAGTAACCAATCAGCTTCATTTTGTTCAATTAAGCTTCGACAATAAAACCTAGAAGCTGATTGGTTACTATGCACAGGTGCATTCATTTAAAAAAAAAAGTTACACTTTGACGAGGATTTACTAAAGTAAATCCTCCCCAAAGTATAACTTTTTTTTTTTTTTTAGTTTTGGATAGCCTGGAGAGGGATTAGAACACCCTTCAGGTTTTCATCGCTGTCTGTGTCCCTGTTTGGGAGATTCGGTCCTGTTTACTATGATTGCTTCCTCCATGAACGGGGGTGCGCATACCCATGCACAAAAGCCAATGGAAACAGACTAATTACCTAATCAATAGTTAGGATTGTTATAAACAAAAGTTGGGGATTTTGTATTCAAATTTTCCTATAGAGAGAGATCAAGCACACATTGCCTCTTATTCCTCAGAAACGAAGTGCAAGAGGGAGATTGCCCCCTCTAATATGTCATTAAATCATATCAATGACTACCTGAAAAGACAGATTTTGGGGATCAAAGATTGCAGAAACATAACAAAAATAATAGGGGACTACTCTAACATATCTATATCTTCATCATGATGTGGCATATATCCATGAGAGATATACAATTATCATCCCTTTAAATTGATAATATCACTCATTACATGCAGACAACAATCAAAATCGCAAAATTGGATGTGATTACTTACGCATTAACTTTTGTTCACATCCACTATTTAACAAAGCAGTCTGATCATATAACCATTTCTTTAACCACTGCATGCATACGGGTCTGTGTCCACTCTTTTCTGTGACTTCGTTAGAACTCTTAATACCAATGACATAGGTATATTTTTCACCAGTGAGTCACCAGAACAGTAATAAAGGGAGAAATCAGCCAATGGGGACAACAGTTCTGGAAACCCTGGTGACAACCGTGGACTCCCTCACGTTGGAAAGATTTTCTCTCACTCCTGTTCTGGCCATGGGAAGTAAAAGGAAAACTCTAAAAAGACATTGCTGATACGAAGGAATTAATAAATGCCGTGACTGGCTCATTAATAAAAGACTGTTACTGTATGTACAGATCTTGTAAAGTTCTGCATTTTATAGTATTCTCAGAAAAAAAAAAGTTTTATTTCAAAGACAGCAGTTGGGTTTCAGCTTCTTTTTTCTTTTATAGCAGTAGTACATATTGGTACCATGCCTGTTTTTTTATACAAATAAGATTTTACAAGATATCAAAAGACTGTGATAATGGTCACATTAGATGGGAGGTCACTAAACTAATGCCCCAACTGATAGGCCTTTAAAGCATTACATTTGTTTTGATGACTCAGAACACCTAATTAGCAGGCCAATGGGTAAGTAATACATACCTTACTTTAATGTCAGCCCTACCAACTGTTTATACTTACCTTTCCGCTACTTCTGTACCGCTCTGTTCAGCTGCCAGGAGTAAAGGTATAAAGCGCTGCATAAGCTGGCTGTTACTTTTGTGAGCTTCTGAAGGGTTGAGGACTATCTCCTCATCCTCATGTGACAGAGGTGGGTACCTAGCTAGCCAAACACCAGTACCAGCGCTGCCACACTGAACAAAGGAGATTGAGTTTTTCCCATACTTGGAAGATGCTATTTAATGATAATTACCCAAAAGTCTTTCTCCTTTTGAAGAGGCTTATTTGCATAAATTAAGATAGTGTAATGTCTCCTTACGTGTATTTAGCACCCCAGTTAACATTATGTTATAAATCAGCATTTACCTTCTGGTTTAAGCAGAGAGATATTTCCATGTGCTGACAAAGGCTGTAGGGATCAGAGAGTAGGGCACTGTGGTCACACTGCTCCATGTATCGCTTGAAGGATCATAACAGTCCAAAGTCTTTCCCCTCTGGGATCCACAGTACCCACCCACTACATAAAGTCTATTGCCAGAGGCAACTGCACGGCAGCTAATCCTCTTTGAAGAAACGTCTCCAAATCTGCACCACTGATAAGTCTCACTGTTAAAACGGTAGGCTGAACTTGCAGAGAACTCAGTGTCCCCTCCTACAACAATGACATGGTTTCCTAAAACAGCAGCTCCAGTATAACGCCAGGGCTGGGGGCAGGTAGCAGGTACAGTCCATCTGTTTTCGACTGGATCAAAACATTGAACTTTGGGAAGTTTTTCACGGTTCACGCTGGTACCTCCAAAAACAAAAAGTTTCATCTTTGCTCCTACTACTGCAGCATTGCTGACCCCTTCTCGAAGAGGAGCTACTAAGCTCCATTTGTCAATATGAGGATCATAGTGTTCAACTTGTTTTAAGGAAACTGAAGGGGATGCTGGAAAAGCTCCTGTGATTGCAGTGTGCCCTCCAACCACATACAAGCAATTATCTAGTTCTGCTGATCCATGTCCAAACCTAGCAACAAGCATAGGTCCTGCTTTAGACCATTCATCATGTAATGTATCATACACCCAGACATCTTTGGATGCACCATTTTCTGCCCCTTTTCCTCCAGTAACATAAACTTTGCATCCAATTGCACATGCACTACATTCTTTACGTGGACTGGGAATGTCAGTTTTAGGTATTATCTCTGTGGTCTTTTGGTCCATCACATATATTTTGTCACACATAAAGGTTTGTCCACCTAACAACAGCAAGGCCTGACTGACTTTTCGAGGGCGAGCACAAAACCCAGTTACTAAACCATCATTCTGTAAAATCTTGTTCCTGCACTGTGTTGCTTCTTCAACAATTGTTTTTGCCACCTTATTTTGAACCACTAAATTGTCTGTAGCTAGACTTCGTAAATACTGCTCTGGAAGAAGAGCTAACCTAACACAGCGCAGTAAGTCTGGTAGATCATCAAAACGAAGGCACAAATCATACTTTATCCAACCCATCACAGCTTCATACACTAAACTTTCATCTTCCACTTCCAGTTCCTCACTAAGGACCAGTTCCATCAGCTTTAGCTTTGGTAGCCTGAAGAAGTCTTCTGTTTTTGACAACTCCACAAAATTTGATAGACACATTCGCCAGGATAATTCAAACAACCTTTCACAGCAATGTGCATCAGATATTAACATCATATTCAAGCAGTTGGCTACATGCAGATTCTTCTCTAGGAACTCTGCAGCTGCATCTCTAATATCATGGAATTGTAGCATGTCTCCAGCTTCAAGCAAGGACTCTGCATTCTCTTCATTGAGGATAATTCTTGCAGAGTATGCATAATCCAGAAGCAACTCTAACACCTCTGGGTGCAGAGCATCATGGAAGTTGACTTCTCTATCTTGGCTTTCTTTTAGACCACCACTGAACATTGCCTCAAAGTAACGGCTGCTGGAAGCTAGCACAGCCCGATGACAAGGGAAGCCTTGGTTCCCCGCCAGCAAGACTACATCTGTGAAGAGGCAACGTTTGCGAAGGAGGTTCAGCTGTGTTAGAAGACTGTCAGCATGGCCAGGCTTGTGGAAAAGATGAATGTTCATGGACCCTGTGCTGGAACGCGATTTGCGGTTTTCGTGATTGCTAACAGACATTTTTGGGTTTTCTATGTTATTTACTAATTTTTCAGGAGGTAAATCTGAAAGACAAAAATTGTTCATTTAAATTAGATTAAGGCTATGAACAAAGTAACTGTTTAGCAAAACACTTCCACTAAAACAAATCAGTTTCTATGATGTGGTTTAGCTCATAAAGAGAATATATGCACTTTTAATTACAGGTTCACATGCAAAAGTTTTAGGGGCATTTCAGAATTGGAATTTTTTGTCAGAAACACTCTTCTCATTTGCCAGGATGATTTTGCCATCCTTTATAAGCTAAACCTGGTAGTAAGGGAAAACAATAGCTCCATATCGAATATATCAACTCTCCTAGTATATGACTGGTGTGCATTATTAGTAACTTTCATAAAAGAAATGGTAATTTTAGCTATGTATGAGTTTTAAAATCTCTTTATTGAATTAATTTTCTTAATGCAATTATGTAGCAGTCCATGTCAAACAATAAATACACTTGTTCTTTTTATTACATTGTATGCAAAATATGTCATTCATCACCAGCAGGAAATGTAGGTGATACAAAGACAAGTAAACAGTCAGTCAGCAATTTCATTAACTATCCAAATGCCAGGGAAAAAAACAAGCCCTGACTAATAGTACAGTATTTGGCATTCTTTTGAGGATATGAATATGAGAGTTGCCACTGCTGAGTTCCTTTCATGCTAATCCTGACTTTATTACTTAGTGAGTCACTTACCTGGGTCGAGCATACAATCAGTAAAGTCTAAAGTCTAACAATCACATCCTCTGTGCTTGACCTAGTCAGTGACTTAATCAGTACAGTACAAGCCTTTAGGAAGACCTTAGCATCTAAATTGAACCCAGGTTCATGAAGAAGTCATCTGCACCCTTAGATTATTATTAAAGCACCAAGGGATCCCCAAAACCCAATGCCCTTATTTATTCACCATGTATACCTTCAAAGTGGCTGCTCATCATATTTGAGGGCCAATAAGAAAGACTGGATAGGAGGAAGTGGAGTAGTGTGTGCCCAAAGAAATTGTGGGCTCCAGTCTCTGAAGACTGTTCTCAAATGTGAGCAAGCATCTAGAGATTGGCAAGATAATATTGCATCATACACTTTCTAACGGCAATTACAGATCCCATATTATTATCACCACTTCTCTTTATTAGAGTAGGCTTTATTTTCATGAAGTTTACATCTCTTTTTCTTATAATTGGAGCACAACATTTGTATAAAGTTTGTAAACTAGCAAGGCACAGTATTCTTACACTGGGGATGTCAAATGGCTCTTTTTGTACTAGTATACTGAATGTATGAATGGATTTTTTGCACTCTTTTCAGCTTGTGGGGGAAAACTCTACAAACAATTAATGATTTTGGAGAGTCAGCAATTTGGAAAAATCTCAATTGCTTTTAAAGATCAGATCTGTCTCTACTGAATAGGATCAAACTATTCAGGAATCCAGGCAATCATGGCTCATGAACTGTCTAATGCTCCACAGCTTGGATAAATACATGGATTGATGTGAAACTCCCTTTATTTACACCACGTACTGTATAAATCTACTGAGCTAATCAATCCCCCACATGTCAGTGATGGGGTAAAGCAAAGCACATGCATCCTAAAGCTGGTATTATGCTAAGCAAATTTCAGCCAGTTCCTGATGAACGCTTTGAAATTAAACTGGTGGGTGGCCCTGCCCTTTCAGTATCACTCTGTCCAACTGAAATATCGAAGAAGCCAGGTGGAAAACTCACCTGAACAGAGCCTTCATGCAATCAGATGCAGAGTACAATACATTGCAGGGGAGATCCAATCACCTGTGGTACGTAAAGCGGAATCTGTTAGGCCCGTTTCACAAGGGCAAACCAATCAGATCAGTTTTCCAGGCAAACCTGATCAGAAGGTCCATGAAATCCTATGGACAGGTGGGTATAAATGGACTTGTGTCTCCGTTTACACCCACCTACCTCCATGTTCGATCGGGTCTGCTAAAAAAAAAACAAAAACAAAACCAGAAAGGGATCCGTACCATCTGTTTAGGTGGATCGGATCAAATCGAGGATAGTCGGGGGTAAACGGACAGCGGAGTCTGTTTACTCCTGTCCACCCGTAGAGCAGAGTGGGCTCTGTCTGTGTCCGCTCTGCAGAAACTGAGTGGACATGGAATATGTCATCCGCCCCCTCAGATTGGAACAAAATCTGCCCCATGTGAAAGAGGCCTTAGATTTCTTTCATTGAGAAAAGAAATCTATAAGTGTATGACCAGCTTTAGGTTATGTCAGGCTGGTATTTATTTCCAGTCCTATGAAAATAAAAATAAAATAATGTTCTGGGTCTTTCTGTTCCTGCCGCAAAGGAATGAAAAGGTGCTTCCAATATGCTTTGTAACAGCACCATGGAGCTTACAACTGAATTCAACATATTGCTTTGCCAAGATGCTCCATGAAGCATTTGCTTCTTTATGTAATCTATCAACAACTCAGTTGCACACTGGCAGATTACATAGTAACAAATGTAACATTATAACCAGAAGCCAAAGCAACAATATCCAGTTATTGTATACTAAGCATTTGACAACAACCAGGCAAGCAGGGAATTGTTCAAAAATCTGCATTTGTGTAAGACCAATGAAAAGTTCATTATTTGAAAGAAATTATTTCTTAAAAGGAATTGGTCATTACAAAGTGAAAGGATGTGATTTCACTAATTAGATAAAAGTACAAGTTTCTGGCCCATGTCAGTGTGTGGGAAAATGAGTATTCCTGTAGTGCACCAGTCCACCCAATTCTCAGTAAAAACTGGTAGTCTGGAAAGGCATTTTGCTTGTTTGCAATGCAGGAGAGGTACAGTGGGGATCGAAAGTTTGGGCACCCCAACTAAAAATTTGTATTAATGTGCATAAAGAAGCCAAGGAAAGATGGAAAAATCTCCAAAAGGCATCAAATTACAGATTAGACATTCTTATAATATGTCAACAAAAGTTAGATTTTATTTCCATCATTTACACTTTCAAAATAACAGAAAACAAAAAAAATGGCGTCTGCAAAAGTTTGGGCACCCTGCAGAATTTATAGCATGCACTGCCCCCTTTGCCAAGCTGAGACCTGCCAGTGTCATGGATTGTTCTCAATCATCGTCTGGGAAGACCAGGTGATGTCAATCTCAAAGGTTTTAAATGCCCAGACTCATCTGACCTTGCCCCAACAATCAGCACCATGGGTTCTTCTAAGCAGTTGTCTAGAAAACTGAAACTGAAAATAGTTGACGCTCACAAAGCTGAAGAAGGCTATAAGAAGATAGCAAAGCGTTTTCAGATGTCAATATCTTCTGTTCGGAATGTAATTAGGAAATGGCAGTCATCAGGAACAGTGGAAGTTAAAGCAAGATCTGGAAGACCAAGAAAAATATCAGACAGAACAGCTCGCAGTATTGTGAGAAAAACAATTCAAAACCCACGTTTGACTGCACGATCCCTCCAGAAAGATCTGGCAGACACTGGAGTTGTGGTACACTATTCCACTATAAAGAGATACTTGTACAAATATGGTCTTCATGGAAGAGTCATCAGAAGAAAACCTCTTCTACGCCCTCAACACAAAAATCATCGTTTGAACTTTGCAAATGAACATATAGACAAGCCTGATGCATTTTGGAAACAAGTTCTGTGGACCGATGAGGTTAAAATTGAACTTTTGGCTGGAATGAGCAAAGGTACGTTTGGAGAAGAAGGGGCACAGAATTTAATGAAAAGAACCTCTGTCCAACTGTTAAGCATGGGGTTGGATCAATCATGCTTTGGGGTTGTGTTGCAGCCAGTGGCACAGGGAACATCTCACGAATAGAAGGAAAAATGGATTCAGTAAAACTTCAGCAAATTTTGGATGGTAACTTGATGCCATCTGTGAAAAAGCTGAAGTTAAAGAGAGGATGGCTTCTACAAATGGATAATGATCCTAAACACACCTCGAAATCCATCAAGATTACATCAAAAGGCATAAACTGAAGGTTTTGCCATGGCCTTCACAATCTCCTGACCTCAACATAATTGAAAATCTATGGATAGACCTTAAAAGAGCAGTGCGTGACAGACAGCCCAGAAATCTCAAAGAACTGGAAGACTTTTGTAAGGAAGAATGGGCAAAGATACCTCAAATAAGAATTGAAAGACTCTTGGCTGGCTACAAAAAGCGTTTACAAGCTGTGATACTTGCCAAAGGGGGCAGTACAAGATATTAACTCTGCAGGGTGCCCAAACTTTTGCAGACGCCATTTTTTTGTTTTCTGTTATTTTGAAAGTGTAAATGATGGAAATAAAATCTAACTTTTGTTGACATATTATAAGAATGTCTAATCTGTAATTTGATGCCTTTTGGAGATTTTTCCATCTTTCCTTGGCTTCTTTATGCACATTAATACAAAATTTTAGCTGGGGTGCCCAAACTTTTGATCCCCACTGTATTTCTAAATACACCCACTGAAGGCTGCCTGTCACATGCAGGACCCTGTTGTGGAGCTCTATAACTGGCTGGGCATACATCAAGCACAGATAAAGCAAGTTACACAGCATAGCCTACTGAAAGCAGAGCCAAACCACAACACATATAAGGAGCTTTAGGCTCCATGCCTAGAGTTGTTTTTAAAGCGGAGTTCCACCTAAAAAAAATAAAATAAAAGTCAGCAGCTATAGCTGCTGGCTTTTAAAATACAGTCACTTACCTGTCCCTTGGTCCAGCGGTTTGCTCACCATGGCTGGTTTCACCAGCTGTCTTCTCTCGCCTGGCGCCAGCATCTTTAATGTGGGCACCCGGCTGGGACAGCTTGCACCTTCACAGCCTGGTGCACACTGCGCATGCGCGAGAAGCGCTGCACTTTCTGAAAGGCCCTTAGTCTTCTAGGACCTGTCACGTGTCCCAGAAGACTACGAGGAGGGAGGGGGGAAGGACATCTTCCTCTTCTGATCACCTAGGCAATCGCAGCGGAAGTGGAAGAGGGTACCTGTACCCCCAA